GAGCTTGGGACGAGATTAGCGTGCTGCAACTTACGACCATCGTCGGCAACTTCCGCAAGCGATCGAAGAAGTGCATCGAGGCCAAGGGTGGAAATTTTGAGCATTTGCTATGATTTTTTCTTCGTTTTGTCTTCAATAAACAATTTGTTATCGTTTTTTGATTAATATTGCCAAAGTTTGCAACTTTTATTTCCCTTAGAAAAAGTGTAAGAACTTTTGCCGCACCCTGTATATATACAAAGTGCCCTACTTTCTGCCCCACTATGTGGCCCACTTCTTGGCCCACATTGTGCCCACTCTCTGCCCCACTCTGTGCCCCACTTTATGTCCTCTACTCGTTACGCGATACGCCTTTGATATCAATAGAAAGGTTAACCAATTCTCTAGAAAATGGCATTTAAAAGAGAACTCAAACAGCGCCTCAGCCTCAACAAAACGCCATTTTTTGATTGTGCTCTATCTTTTTCGAGTCCATAAACTTCACGAAAGAAAAGCTTTGTGGAATCTTTCAAAAGTCTTTTTGTAAAAAGATAGTGAACCTTTTGATAATAGGGCACATAATAGAGCAAAAAGCAAGAACGAAAAAAGACGTGTATTTAAAGGATGCTTGCAAAAAGTCTCTTTAAAGTTCGACGCCATCACATTCTCCTTCACCCATTAAATTTGAAATGAATTTTGTTTTAGAATAGATAGTTTATCGCTATCATAAGTCAAAATTGTATTGTAATTGTAATTCAAATCTTTTTTTTTTTCAGGCTCGAACGAGGATGCAAGTGATAAGCAACGAGAAAAGTATCGCCGAACGATGAAAGAAAGCTTTGAGAAGTTTTGGAACAAAAAGAAAGTTTTTCCATGAAGTGTTATTGAAAGAGTTTTGTTTTTTTTGCAAATTGAGGCATAAAGAGACCTCTTTTCCTGAAAAGTCTTGGTTATAACTGAGAATCGTATGAGCGATCACGAAAGCTGAAATGACTTTAAAGCATTTTGTGATCGACTTGAGCACGAACTAAACGGATTCTTTAAAGAAGGACAAGAAAATCAACGTGAATTGAATCAGGAATTGCACGAATTGAATTGAACAAGAATTGAACAAAGAAGCAAACTAGGGAACAGACATTTGAGGAGTTGTTGACGTAGATTGATGTTGACATCCATGAAGAATTACCGGCGTTTTTACGGAGTTGAGGCGAGTTTTGAGTTTGAGAGACAAACTGCCATCTCCGAAAGCAGCACAGAGAGAACGATGCGATTCGGCAGCAGACTTTCCAATTTTGAAGTTAAACAGTAATGCTGCTCGTAGCACAAACTTTTGCTCGACCATGATCTAAATAAAAAATATAAGCATTTTTAAATAAAATAAACAACAACCAAAAAAATTCAAATGTCGAAATAAATAGCAAACAAATATGTGAACAAAAAATGAAAAAAATAATGCCGTTAGCATCGCTCGTTTCTGATCAATGAGAGCTGATACCCTTCGGCAGTTGCTTTTGCACCACCCTAATATTTATCTTTTTTTCTTGCTTTAGACTTTAGACCGACTTCAAATATCAAGTTTGCGTCTGCCTACTTTACGACTTCAAACTTAAAACAGTCGCGAAATTCCATCGAGATTTGGTCAAAGCATTTGGGAATGATGTATTGTCCGAAAGCCGATGCCAAGCCTGGTTCCAAGGCTTTCGGAATTAGAGTGTGTTCCATGCCGACAACGCGTTTCCTAAAAAGCGCGCGCCAAATATAAGCTACCGTAACCCTATGCTTTGCATGAACAAACTTTTTAAAATGCAAATGTACATTAAAATCTTGCGCTTTTTTTTTCTACCACTCTTTCCTTAAATTTTTGTTTTTTTCTCTTTTTCAAACAGGTTATATAAATACTTTATTTATTAGGTTGATGCATAAGTCTTTTCGTTTTTTTCGTACTTCCGCTTAAAACCAACAATTGCACCAATTGAACTACGGTTGATTTCATTAGAAAAACCAATTATTTTTCTGCAAAATAACATTAAAACGGGTTTAAAAATATTTTATGCCTGGATTTTCTTGAGAGTATGAAGTCGGGTAGTCAAAAAGGGCTAACTCGATGATGCGGTTTAGACACCTTAGCTAAAGAAAACCTATCTTCGTGTCAATAGATAAAAGATAGAGAAAAAAAAGTTTGATATTTCGCCAAAATTTCAGAGAAATTCATTCAGCCAATTTTTCCGTAGAGTTTTTTATAGATTTTACGAAAAAGGCGTTTTTCACTCTCGAATTTGCTTGAAAGTGAACCGAAATTGATTTAAAAAGATGGAAATTGAACAAAAAAACACTTTTTTTTATAGAGCAAACTATAGATTAATTCGTGAATTTGTTACTTTTTAACAGAAGTACGAAAAAAACGAAAAGACTTATACATCAATGCTTTAGATCTAGTGGCTCTTTGCCGTAAGTAATTGGCTTATTGATTTCAGTATGTATTGTATGATTAAGTATCACTGTGCATTTCTCTATGATTTCTTTCACTTTATCGCTTGAATAAAGTATTATTATCAACCTAATAGAAAGAAATAAAGTGCGAAAAATGTACCAGATAAAAGATCACAAGTCACTTAAAATACAACGAGGTTAAAAATACAAAAAATACACTTAAAATACACTTAAAATAAAATACAACGAGATCTAACGCAACTTGTCGGGAAGGGCATTCCAAACTTTAATTGCACGATTTACAAAAAAAGCTCTAGAGGATTTAGGTTAAATTGGTAATTCCTATTATTTAGAGTAGCGCGTAGAAAACCGTGTGATTGTGAGAGAAAAATGGATGCTTCTCCCAGTAATAGGGTAAATTCTAGTAATAGTTGCCTTTACGCTTATAAATCATTTTCAGACTTCCGCAACCCCTTCGCGTAAACCTAAAATGCCCTCACTAGCCTGGGATTTTATGTCAAAGTATGTAGATGTGAGCAGTAAAGAGACTCGAGCACAATGCAATCTATGTCCCAGAAACGCGATTGCAAACTATGCCATTGGCGCCCTCTACGCCATGAAACATCATCTAAAAGTAGATTTACTTTATTTTTGCAAACCTTAAGCCAGTCAGAGCATCCAGTGGAGTGGACAGCGGCAGAAATTCACCGCGATAACACTATCGCAAACGTTGTAGAAATGACTGAAGGTGCAGATGCAAATGTGATGGCATTGTTAGTGATATAAATTTTTTCTGCAGTTCCTTGCAGAAAACGGATGCTTCTCCCAGTAATAGGGTAAATTCTAGTAATAGTTGCCTTTACGCTTATAAATCCGCAGTTTAGAGTTTAGAGTTTAGAGTTCCGCAACTCCTTCGCGTAGACCCAAAATGCCCTCACTAGACTGGGATTTTATGTCAAAGTATGTAGATGTGAGCAAAAGGAAAGGCACAGTGCAATCAATGCCCCAGAAACGCAATTGGAAACTATTTTAAATTCTTAAATTTTTAAATGCTGTGTAAAATTAAAGAAAACATTTAAAACAGAAAAAGGTTAAGAAACGCTATTAAAAACTTATATTATTATTTACGAATTTACTAGGCCTATTGTCTACATTTGCACTAGAACGATTCAAAAACAAATTCCACTCCCTAAAAAACCCTAAAAATCTTAAATAAAACGAGCCATTACTTACTATTAGGTTGACAAAAAAAGAAATGAGCGTCGTGTTTGTTGATTTGTATTTTATTCACAGTAAAAGATTTTTTAAAATAGTTTATTCTATTGGAAAGAGCGTTTTCTTGCGTATCGTTTGATATATAATGTGTCTATGTTTACTTTGTTTTTTTACAAGAAAGAGTGTTTGGAAAATGTCGGACCAAAAATTTCGCTTGCGGGTCTGCTTGTGGTATGAATTTAAGCAAGGCAAATCGGCTGCTGAAGCTCATCGCGCTCTATCTCAAGTGTTTGACGAAGATGCTCTATCCGAAAGTCAATGTAAACGATGGTTCCAGCGCTTCCGAGACGGCGACGAAAGCTTGGAAGACCAAAAACACGGGAGTCGACCTCAAATCATCAACAACGACGCATTGAAGGAAGCCATTGATCAGGCCATTGATTCTCTGCGTGAACGTTGGCGACAAGTCATTGATGCAGATGGCGAATACCTTTTGGATTAATGTATTGTTATCTTGTTTTTATAATAATATAAACTTTTAACGAAAACGCGCATTTCTTTTTTGCCAACCTGATACATTTTAAGAAAATTTTGCACATTTTTCCGCGCGGACTTTAATAGTTTTGCTTAAAAAGCGCACCTTTTAGAAAACGCGTTGTCGGAAATTTGTCGGAAGTTGTCGGATCGAGATCGATCAATTGACTGACAAAAGAGTTGTCAATTTGTCTGACAAATTTTCTCTCAACAAGGAGCACACTCTATTCGGAATGGTGATGAAAGTCTCGAGGATGATGAGCACTCTCGTCGACCTGCTTGAGGTCGACGAGAGTAGACAACGATATTTTGAGGGCTGCAATCGAATCGGATCAAAGTTAAACGACGCGTGAACTTGCTAAACAGTTTCTATGTTCAAATTCTACTATTGATGAGCATCGCCATTGGAAAGCACGCCATTGGAAAGCACGCCATTGGAAAGCACGCCATTGGAAAGCACGCCATTGGAAAGCACGCCATTGGAAAGCACGCCATTGGAAAGCACGCCATTGGAAAGACGATCAAATGCGGGAAATGACTTCCTCACGAGTTAAGCAGTGCAAACGCTCGTTTATATCCGAAGAACCTAATATTTCTCAATATATGTTCATATCTATTTTATTTTTCACTTTCTCAAAATATTTACGCAATGATAGTACAAATTTGGATTGAAAATGGACAAAATTTGAATTGAAAATAGCATCTAAAAAGTGATCTCGATTTGACCAAACAAGCTTTTAATAATGGAAGCCATGGGTGTTTTGATATTTTGAAAAACTATATAAAAGTAGCACTAGACAAGACATTTACAAAAATAAGCTGTTATAATATTTTCTCTCAAAATGCTTTTCACTATTCTCACTTTGATCTGTTTATGTTTAACGAAAACGGCAGTTTTGGCGGCACCAGTAAATGGTGAGTAGACAAAAGTTTTTCATTTTCTACAAAATGGCTGTTGAGGTATTGAGCTGTTGAGTTGAAAGCTCAAAACTCGCCTCAACTCCGTGGAAACGAATTTTTGTTATTTTTCGTCAAGCACAAAAGCAAAAATCTTACAAGCAGAACCCAAAAATGCAATGTTTGCCATCTACTATTCTAAGTTATAACCAAGACTTTTCAGGCCACCCAATCCCGGTGACCCCATTGCCTCCACTTGTCACCAATGGCCTCCCAACAGTCACTCTTCCCATTCATTTATGTCCGATATTTATGTGTCCGATGATTCTTCCCGATTCCCGATTTTCGGATGATTCTCGTCCCATCCGTCCATGTCATTGTCCTCAATTTCCGATAGATCGTGCACCAGTGATTGTTTAAACCCAACAACCACAAGCAGAAGTAAACCTTTATCAAAATAGAAATCGATTAAATCTTATGAAAGCATAAAAATTGCATTTTAAATCGAGTTTTTCGTTGTTTTAAGGCGTTTTTGTGATATTTGATGTCAAAAATTGTTTTTTAAATCTTCCAAAGTTCATTTTTTTACCTTTTCAGAATCAATACATTCAAATTGAACAGTTCTTTTTATAAAAAAAGCACAGAAAGAAGAAAGACTCTTTTCCAAGATTTACGGAGACTTTAATCAAGAAAATCTTTAGAATAAGGTGTCAGTGCCTAAGAATAGAGGCTGATTAGGCTCAGGCTCAGGCTTAGGCTCAGGCTTAGCCTTAGGCTCAAGCTTAGGCTTAGGCTTAGGCTCATGCTTAGGCTTAGGCTTAGTCTCATGCTTAGGCCTAGGCTCAAGCTTAGGCTTAGGCTTAGGCTCAGGCTTAGCCTTAGGCTCAAGCTTAGGCTTAGGTTTAGTCTCCGGATGAGGCGGATTAGGCACAGACATATTATTCTAAAGATATTCTTGGCGAAAGCCTCAGTAAGTCATGGAAAAGAGGCATCATTTTGCAAGAAAAAGAAAAGCCTTTCAATAGCACTTTATGGAAAAACTTTCTTTTTGTTCCAAAACTTCTCAAAGCTTTGTTTCATCGATCGACGATACTTTTCTCGTTGTTTATCACTTGCATCCTGATTGCAGCCTGAAAAAAAGATTTGAATTACAATTACAAAACAATTTTGAATTACGATAGAGATAAACTATCTATTCTAAAACAAAATTCATTTCAAATTTAATGGGTGAAGGAGAATGTAATGGCGTCGAACTTTAAAGAGACTTTTTGCAAGCATTCTTTAAATACACGTCTTGTTTCGTTCGTGTTTGTTGCTCTATTATGTGCCCTATTATCAAAAGGTTCTCTATCTTTCTATAAAATGACTTTTGGAAGATTCCACAAAGCTTTTCTTTCGTGAAGTTTATGGACTCGAAAAAGAAAGAGCACAATCAAAAAATGGCGTTTTGTTGAGGCTGAGGCTTAGGAACTTTTCGAGTTCTCTTTTAAATGCCATTTTGCAGAGAATTGGTTAACCTTTCTACTGATATCAAACGCGTATCATTTGGGGCACATAGTGAGGCACAGAATAGGCCCATACTAGGGCACCAAGTGGACACAAAGTAGGGACATATTGGGGCACAAAGTAAAGCATGAAGTGAAGTACAAAGTGAGCACAAAGTGGGGCAGCAAATACGGCACAAAGTGGGGCATAAAGTGGAGTACATATTCAGGCACAAAGTGCCTGATTTTCTGCGCCACTTGCTGCCCCACTTTGTGCTTCACTTCACATAGTGCGCAGAAAGTGGGCAGAAAGTGGGCCACAAAGTGGTGCACAAAGAGGGGCACAAAATGGGCCACAAAGTGGACCACATAGTAGAACGTGGTGCAGAAAGCGAGAACAATTTCTTTGATTATCGGCGCCATTTCATTTTCCAAATCCAATATTTTTGTGAAAGAATAACCCACCAATTCCAGAACCAGTCAGGTATTGAAACATTATCTTCAGAAATTTCTGCATTTCAAATAGGCTAATGTACACTAGACCGAGATATTCTAAAAGACAAAGATCCGAGATCGTCTCGAAACGAAAATCTTCGTGCCAGAAAGCGTTGGCCTGTGGTTGTTGGAGGGCAACGAGGAGCCCCGTTCTCTTAGCTGGCTCACCTTGTTTCCCGTCGGTGTGACAAATGAAACGTATGTCGTTTCCCGGCCAACTTTTCTCTTTCATCAAAATGAAATGAAACCCAAATGATGGATCTTTTTTCCCATCGATTTCGTGAATGATTTTCTCGAGAAGATAAAAATGGGTTACTTGGTGAAGTTTCACGTCGTGCCAATCATTCAGTAAACGAAAAGCTCTTTCGAAAAGTAAATGAGTTTCAAGGAATTGCAAATGATTTTCATGAAGACAAGTGGAATATTCTATTTGCAGATTTTTCAGCTTTAAAAATCTTTCAGAAACCACAGGGAAAACCCCGGTTTTGCATGGTGTTTCACAAGAACAAGAAGAGCGAACGCTAGATTCCGGGATCGAGTCCAACAAATAGATGTAGCCCTTAAACTTTGTCTGTTCTGCATTAAAAGTTCGTTCAACTAGTTCCTTTGCGGAGGTTGGTAGAAGTGCGACAAAATCATTCGGCAAGCCTGCAATTGGTCCCAGTCGATTGATTCGCATCATGTTATATAGTTTGAAGAAACCATCCAACTCTTCGCTTACATCTTTTCGGCTTTTCACTTCAAAACGAGCATATTCTTGAACCAATTCAATTCTTTTGAGCAAGGCTCTTCGGATCAACTCCAAATCAATAGGCGTCTCTCCTGAGTTACAGACACGGAAAGTCCGTTCCGTCCATTTGCTGTAGCTACGAAAATCGCTGAGATCTTTCTTAAAGACCAAATCGTAACCTTTGCACCATTGGTTTCTCGATTCGCCCAAGTACTGGAAGAAAAAAAGCTTTCTTCTTGTGAACACTTTCTCGAGTTGTTCAATGTTTTGAATGCTGCTGTTTAAAAGATCTTCTAACTCTACCCAAGAAAGCGACAACGAGTTGCAGTTCCACAGTGTGTGAATGGCGAAAGGAATGCAACGATCTTGTAAAAGATAATCGAAGCAAAGAAGCTCTTGAAAACTCGATAACGGTTCGGGTAAACGATTTTCCGGATCATCCACGATTTCGATATTTTCAAAATCGAATTGTTCTGCGGTGAAATGGTCCGGGGGAATGTCATAGTAATATTTCACGGAAAAGTCCATTTCAAAGGATCGTATCTTTTCGACCAAATCCTGTTTTTCGTTTCGATTCAAAGAATCGAGTTCTAGAAAGCTTGTGAATTTCTCGCAAAGCTCTGTCCTCTCTTTGTTCACATCGTCTTTATAATGTTTGAAACGAAGTCTTTCCCTTGTTAGATTCGAGAATTTTGTCAACAATTGAGCTTTTAGTAGAAGTTCGTCGAGAAACAGTTGACTGTTGTGGCTGTTTTGTGTGGTTTCAACATCGGGAGTCGCTTGCAAATCAGTTTGAGTGAAGCGTGTCGCGTCTGGGACTGTAAAAGAGTCATAGAAGAGGCCAATCGGTTTGGTTAAATGGATTTGATGCCGATTTCGCTGGGGTGGCACGAGAAACTTATTGAAAAGCTAAAGTTTTCATTTTCTTTTCCATCATTTGTCTTTACCTTTTCTAATGCTTCCATCTCATCGTAAGCACTTTCAGCATTCTTTCGATCTTCAACGCGAATCGTCGGGCAAGAGCAACTAAAGGATAACATGAAAAATTATCGGCTCAGCCTTTTGGTAAAGTGGTTGTCAAGGGCCTAATTTCATTCAAAAGTGGCGGGTGGATACTTTGCGCCAATTTTTTTTCTGGGTCTTTTGCGCAACTCGTCATAACTTTCTTCTAAGTGGGCTCATCTTTATGCTTTTGGTGTCATTTTGTAGATCTTAAGAAGTTTAACAAAATGACACCATTGACTCATTTAGAAGAAAGTTATGGCGCAGAGCCAGTTGCTTTGGCGCAAAGTAGCCACCACCGGATTACTGTGGGTTTGTCCCTTGCCTTGCCTGGCTGACAGGTTCTAGGGCCAGCCCAGTATACAGATTGGCTCACTTAGAAGAAAGTTATGGCGAGTTGCGCAAATGACCCAGTTGCATTCAGCTCAGGGTTACTGTAAGTGCTTAGCTCTGGTTACTGTAGGCTTCGCGATACTGTAGGAGCTAGAGAAACATGTATTAGGGTTTGATTTGGTACTGGATGAAGCCTAGTCTGGGCTAGAAGACTGGACTACGGGACTGAACTGGATCAATCCTGATCTGGACTAGGAGACTGGACTGGATCAAGCCTAGTCTGGACTAAGGACTGGACTGGATCAAGCCTAGTCTGGACTAGGAGACTTGACTAAGAAACTGGACTGGACTAGGAGACTGGATGGACCAAGCCTGGTCTGGACTAGGAAACTGGACTGGATCAAGCCTGGTCTGGACTAGGAGACTGGACTAGATCAAGCCTGGTCTGGACTAGCCTGGCCTAGACATACAACCAGGATTACTGTAACTCAGGAGGTTACTGTGCACCGTAGTTACTGTGCTACTAGGCCACTGTAGTTACTTCCACAGTTTGATTACTGTATTTCCTTGCAATCCTAGATTACTGAATCCCAGATACACTGTATAATTACTGTAGCTCCTAGAATGGGTCTCTGTGGATTACTGTAGTCTGTAGATATTGTAGTCTGTAGTCTGTAGTCTGTAGTCCTGTAGATATTGATTTCCAGGCCACCTTCAGCCTCTCCATTCGTCGTCAACCTCTCTACTACTTGCACGTGATCGTTCTCCCCTGTTTGATCATCTCAATTTTATCCATTGAAGGCATTTTCTCAGTGCATGAGGGACAAGAGAAGAAGCTTGAGAAAGTGAGAAATTTGTTTGAGAAATTTCCTTGAAAACTTCCTTGAGAAATTCCCTTGAAAAACTTCCTTGAGAAATTTGACTTTTAAATGCAGCTTCTTCTTCTTTAAATGACTTCTTTCAGCTTACAATCGGTTTGACGAGTCTGATGGCGATGACGGTTTTGCTGGAAATCGTCGCCTCGTCGATCCCAAAAACGAACACTTTCCCATTGCTGGGTACGATACAGTACTGTTCACACTTTGCTCTACGATTCTAAAGGGTTTAGACTTGGCCAAATACGGTATAGGACTGGGATTACTGAGAAATTGGGGATTATGATAACTACAGTAACTCGGTGGACTACAGTAACTACAGTAACTCGGTTGATCGTAGGGTCCGGTAATCTGGAATGGGATTACGGTAGGCCAGGATAGGGTCCGGTAATCTGGGATGGGACTACGGTAGTCCAGGAGAGGGTCCGGTGATCTGGGATGGGATTACGGTAGTCCAGGATAGGGTCCGGTAATCTGGAAAGGGGTTCCGGTGGTCCG